AAAGCTCGTTTCCAAAAAACACCCTGTAAATGTGTTAACTTGCAAGGTTATAAAGTTGACCGGAAAAATACCGTTTCAGAGGAATTGAGGAATAGTATGTGAAGGAAGGTCATTGAAGGTCATAACTGAAAATCTCATATGTTTATTATTGTTATTGTTTCTGTTGTGGCATTTTTCTTATGGATAGCCACCACACTCTTCACTGTAGAGCTCTTCTTGGAACTTCGATCATCGTGAGATGATGGGGGGGGGAAGAGAATTCGAAGGCAAAAAGGAAATGACTTTTATGTTACTGTTACAATACATCTTTCTGTTCATTCAATTCCTACCATTAGTTCAGACTCTCCCCATCTATATTATATAAAACGCTAATACGTACGTATGTATCAATAAAACCGATGATATTTCTTTTCTCGCGCTGGCAACAGTTTTCATTTTTAATTGATTGGATTCGGCGCGCAAGAGCACGTAGTGAGCATCATATGGCTAATCCATGTTATATAAAACGCTAATACGTTTTAATTGATAGGCTTCGGCGCGCAAGAGCACGTAGTGAGCATCATATGTCTAATCGGGTGAATTCTCACCGAATTATCAAAAAAATTCTCACAAAATTATCTTCATCGAAGCCGATGCTTTACATCCGGCGTTCAGTACTATTTCATATTGTTTTACAACACATGGTTTTAGCCCTCTGGTGGGAAAGACTTTAAAACAAAACTTACAACAGTTACTTTTCTCAACAACTGAAATTTAGAATAGTGTGATTAAGAAAAATATGTGAACTGTTTGCAATTTCAAATTAATATTGAAATGCACAGGTTTAGAATTTTCTACAGTGAAAAGTTTTCGGAACTTCAGTGTTCAAAAAAGTATACAAAAGCTAGACGTTAAGAACGTATCCAATGAGCTAGCAAAGCCAGCATCGGATTGCGAAGCAATCCGAAATGAACTGCGAAAACAGTTTCGGGGGTTCGCGAGCGCCAGCGAGCAGGGGGCGAAGCCTCCTAGTATATATTTATATATCTGGTTCAAAATTTTAATCGTTCGTAAAATACTTTTTATTCATCCACTCAGGTTCAAATATATATTTTTTTAATCCAGTAGTGGATGAAACTTGATGTAAGTACAGTTTTTTCAAATATTAAATTAATCATTTAAATTTAGTTCATTTCGATTTTGCCCCTTAATATTGTGATTCCGTCATAAGTATATACATATTTATATTAATTGTAATTATTTAATAAAGAAGTAACTGAAATAAAAATTTTCTTAAATGGGAATTGACTTTAATTTGTTTTTGATATTACATGCTTATTGCTACACTGTTAATCCTCTTGCCATTAGAAATAGTATCGTCTTGAGTATCGTATAATATATACAGTTCACGTTCTTTTGTACGACCCCCCATTTGTGTGATCCTTCCATTTTAGCGCCCACTAGAACGTCCGAACTGAACAATTCATTTCAATATAGCGACCGAAATTTAGATTTTTTTTTAATTCCCTGAAAATTACTCCGAAAAACAGGTGATAGAGATTCTTACTCTTTCAAAACCATTGGTAACTATTTTTTTCGTTGATAACGAATCAATCAATAACTAAAGTCTCGAAAAAAATCAAACCACCATTTCTTTTTATGTTTCCGCTTAATAGACATAAAACATCCCAAATTCTCTATGGATGAATAAAGAATGATAGGACCACCTATTCTAAACCTAAGATGTCATGGGTGTAATCTATGGAAATATATAAGTACATATATTACTTACTATTACTGAGAATTTGAAGTGTAAATTGCAAGTTCATTTAGAAATCGGGAGTTAGTGTATAACCATAGCCTTTCAAACTTTTTTTTCAAAGGGTTCCATATGGGTCAACAATCATATTTTTTTTTGTTTGAAAATGGCACTCACCCTTTTTGAAAAATTTCTGCAAGAGGTGGTTTATGCTTTATTTAAATATGTGATATTATTCTCATTTTTTTTTATTTTAGTTTTATTTTTGTTCTCTGGACGTATGTAAAATAGCGAAAATAGCTGCAGTATAGTGCTATATGCTAAGATCGGAAATTAAAAACTTTAAGGAAGTGGATAGAGGAATTTCCTAAAAATACTATGTTTACAATAATTAAAACACTTTAAGATCCCTAAAAGCACTTAATTATCATTTTTTTAGTTTATGTAATAAATTAACGAAGCCTCAATTTAATAAAAATAACTGAATCACGGCTTATTATAAGAGTAATTCACACGTAAAAATAACAAAATCTTTATAAACTCATAACTATTTGCGAAATGAAATGGGTGTACACAGCGACAAACTTAGTTCAATTTATGTTTAAAAACATTTCCCTAAACTCTTAAGGAATAAAAAAAACCTGTGCGATAACACCTTAAACTTCAAAATTTTATCAAACTTAGAACAACAAAACATCCACTTTTTTTATTTTAAAACTTACGCTAGACTAATGACAGATCCACAAAAAAAGAGCAAACATAATTAACGATTAAAAAGTCTTATTAGAAACCGCAAGAAAAATACTGATGACTAAACTTTCTCAAATGTTTGCTCTCAGCTCAGGAAACTTCACTCCCTACGAATTCGAAAAAAAAATCTGGAGTTTCAAGAAATGAATGGCATTGTGTTAGAGGTACTTTGTTTAAACAGGTCGAGTGCTGTGAAATCTCCGACATTTATAATACCATCCACGTTTAAATTAAGCTATAGTGTCTACATGTTCAAAACTCACCACACAAAATGCAATTTAATTAAGTAATATGGCGTCTGCTTCATTAATTGTGGTGGCAACGGCTCAGTGATTTGGTGTTAAACAGGATATGAGATAGGAAAGTTTACAGAAGCGCGAGGGGGAAAAAAACTTCATTAACTAAAGAAAAGTAAAAATGCAACGGGAATTAAGAATTTAATTTGGAGTTTCGAGATAATTTGATTTTAGTTGAATATATTTGAAGTTTTTAAGATAAATTAATGAAACGTAAATTAAAAATTTAAAAAATTAGACAAAATTAAAGCAGTAAAAAAATAGACCATAAACAATTTTTAAAAAATGGGGAAAAAATGCATGCCTGGTTTCAGAAAATGTTTTTGTTACTCCTTATTTTTTATTGTAGATGTTTTTAGTTTTAATTAATTTAAAAATATTTTTAATGTTATTTTTAAATGAATAATTAGAACAGTAATAAAATTAATTATTTAGAAATACATAATTTTCTGCTATACCTTAATTTTACATGATTTTCAGTTCTATACATAATTTTCAGTTATACCTTAAATTGCATAGTACAAAAATTTGTATCAACAATAAAGATAAAATATTCTATTTTATTATAATTAGGATTATATATTCAAAAATATACTGTAAAATAAAACAGTTATGTCATTAATGCAATTTTTTTAAGTTTTACCAATGGCTTTTTAGCATCCGGAAAAGTTCCTGAAATTAACAAAACCTGGAACAACTGAGCTTAATAATTTGCTAAACTAAACAATAGAGTGGTTCATTTATTAAGTTATCAGGGCTCCGAAATTCAAATTCAAATTTTTTTTGTCATTGTTCTGAACCAAATAATTTTATGTTGCTTCAAAAAGAAATTTAAAAGTTTAAATTCATAGTACTCCATATATTTGTAATTTTTTAATTTTCGAAATTACTTTTTTAAATTGAAATTTTATTGTTAATGATAAAATTTTATTATTATTTACGTTATTGATTGTAAAGACAAATGATAAAAAAGTTATCTTTAATTATTCTGTCATTTTACTTTCAACTGCATATTTTGGAATCAGTTAATATAAATCATTATTCGAATCTATTTCATTACTTTGTATCATCCAATTTGTATTGAATCTGCGTCTTTGCACTTCATTGATTCATATAAACTGATTCATTATTATTAAAAGACTCAATGAATTATGAATTTTTGTGAATTTAATATTACAAAAATAAATGTTAATGAAGTTAAATTTCTAAAATTATCCAAAATATTTATTTTGAATTCAAAAATTAAATATTCCGTCTATTTAAACTTAAAAATTTACGTAAATCGGACGTTTCAAAGACAGTTACAATTCAAAATAATATTTTTTACAAAAAACATTATTATTTTTTACTGGTATATATTTATAATGCCTTATAATGTCTGATAATAAGGAATTATTTCGTATTGGAAATACATCCTCTAAAAATTTATCATAATTTCTGAAATACTTTGAATAGACATAAAACAAATTCATTTTCGTCTTTTTTATTCTTATCTGTATTTTTATTTAATTGATTGCGTACATCTTTTTGAAATAAATTAATTTGTATACATATTTATTTATAAATTTGGTTATTTGTGGATAAAAATCAAAAAATCATTAAAAAAAATTTCGAAATTCCAACCACATAGAAATTACATGAAAAATAAAATTCTCAACTTACTATTTAAATGAAAGTGGTGTATTTTTTATCACACAAACCTGATTTTTGTGCTGGACACATCATTGTATCAGTTTAAAATGTATCATAATTTCTATTTAATGTTCAAAAAGAGAAAAGGATATTTTTTTCTTTTAATTCTTAATATTACTTAAAATTTTTAATTCTTAATGTTACTTAACTTTAAATTTGAAATCGTAATGTTATTTAACTTTAAATTTTATACTGGATACTTACTTTGAATTAGTTAAAAAGAATCACATTTGTATTTGGTCATTTGAAACTATAACTTTAAATCGGCTAATTTTCAGCAAATCTCTTTATTTGTAAAACTTTGATTTATATAAAGAAATTCATTAATAGTTTCAAATCTATAAACTACAACATTATGAAAAAAACATTATAGAGATTAATTGCCTAAAAATTTTTAAAATTTTCTAGAATATTTTTTATTATTAAATTTCCTAAATTCAACAAACTAAATGAATTACGATTTTTTACATGAAACTTGCTAGTGTCATTAATTTCAAACACTAAAATTCATTTTTCAATTTCAGGTACAGCTTTGATGCAGCTCGTTGAAGTTCATAAAGAAATACACGCTCAACAAACTAATATTGTAAGCAAAACTTACTATTCTATAAATCTTACCTCAATCTTAAGAACTTAAACTTAAGTACGTAAATATAAAACCATGGAAATACGAATTCATTGAATTTTAACTTTTTTTCAAAAAGTTTTAGTTTTCTGATTTAATTGATAGATTTAATATTAAAAATAAAAATATTATCTCTTGTTCTTTTGAATTTTTAATTATATATTTTGTGTCACTTCATCTCCTTATTTATAATAGTTAGATATGCTTAAGTGTACAAATTAAAAGCTTTGTATTATTTATTTGATATTTATAAAAATATCAAGTATATCAGTATAATTAAAAAATGCAATATCAAACAGCATGAAAATTTTAGATAATCTAGGTATAATAGTTGATGATGTAGAAGTTTAGGCCTTTACAGAATTGTTTAAAGTAGAGCACTAGTTCAGTCTTCGACTTCGTCATCTGAGCATCAAATCAAACCTATATAGCCTAATTTTTTCAACAATTAAAAATTAGAAACCAGGAATAACTAAGTGAACTTCACGGTTGGATGTAGGCTTTTGTTAAAAGAATTCTTTTGGATTGACCAATAATGCGTTCTTAATATAGAAGAAAAATTAAGAACGCAATATTGTCAAACGGATTTATCAGATGACAAGATGTGAAATGTTTCGTGATCCCAACCCTTAATGTATATATTTAGAATCATTATCAATATAGAATTCGAAAACCAATATAGTGGAAAACAATTATAGCAGAAGCTCCATTATTTATATATATATATATATCATATGAAAAAGGGGGGGGGGAAATAATAAGTAAGAAATAACAAACAACAGTTTATTAAAAATAATAATAAATAAAAAAAAATAAAAAAAAATTTAAAAAAAAAAAGACAAATAAGAAAGTCGTCGAGAAAGTTGACACAACTACCCCGAAGGTACAGATACTAAATGCATGCGGAAGAGACAGAAAGGTATGGTCGATGAATTAATTGCACCCACGGGTGAAAATCATTAAGAAAATATAATGTTTCAATAATCTCACAGAAATAATTCTTTATATATTTATTGCTGGGGACAAAAAAACCAGATTCCTTGCAAAGTATGTCATGAAGAGTTCATGCGTTGCCAGAGGTAAACTATCTCGCTCAATTTATCATCATTTAAGTCGAGGCGAAAGTATGTATATTTCATAAGAAGAGGTATATAACTGTTTTTATATGGTGAGAAAATGTTCGGGAATTTGATTTGTATACATTCGTAATTACTTCTGTAAGAGAGATTCATTTATTAAGTTATGAACTGTTTAGTTGAAAAAAAAACAGTACTGAATCTAGATAGAGTACAGATCGTGATGAATTGCTAATAAAGGGTGAGAAAGCGAAATTGGAATGGATTTACATTTCTATCTTGCGGTCAAATTTTAAACTTGTAAATTGGTGAATAAACTTTCCAATTTATCTAGTAATATTCACATACTTTTCGTGAATTTTTTTTAACTGTTTTTATNAAAGAAACATGAATTGCCTGCTTTGCACATAATTTTAGCCACGGATTTGCACGAAATGGATTTGCACATGGAAAAATTAACAAAGAAAAAATTTAGTACATAATTTTAGCCACGGATTTGCCCGAAATGGATTTGCACATGGAAAAATTAACAAAGAAAAAATTAATTAATTTTTTTAAAGAGTTAATAATCATTTTTGAGCCGCAAAATGTCATTAATTGTAACTAATTGTAAATTGTAATCTTACAATTAATGCATAAAAGATTAAAAGATTAGTTGTGGAAAAATGATTAAACTTAGAGAATAAATTGAAGTTAAATTTCTATAACTGTCTAAGGACACTATTTGCTGAAAATAGTGTCAACAATCGTTCTACAACTTTTACTTTAAATATAAACTTTAAAAACTATAACTTTATAAAACTTTTAAACTTTAAACTTTTTTTTTTTATAAGCATCTAAGATTCTGAAACGAGAAATAGAGTTCTACATTAAATTTGATTATTTTAAATCCCACATTTAAAGCCAATTTTTAAATAGCTTATATTAATTTTATTCTTTTTTATGCGCAAATAAGTTCCTAGCTACATCTAAAAGCAAACAAATTCCATTTTTTAATTTTATTCTAAATGACGCACACTAACAAAGAGAAAAATATAAGTTTTCTTTGTACTCAGAAATATACGGGAAGCAAAATCAATTTTCAATATGATTTCTTTCTTTTTTTTAAAAAAAAAATATTTTTTCCAAACTTTTAATCAACATATGCTTGTCACAAAAAAAACCCAGCTTTATTGGTAGAAATTTCAATTTAACTCAAAATGAAAATAACAAAGAAAAGACCGCAGCTAAGTTTTTATTTTATATTTCTGATAAGAAACAAAACATAAATCGGTTTTTATTCTAGCTAGCATTGAGAAAACGATATGCAAATTTAAATGAACGACTTAGAAAAATACCACCTGGGGTAAAGAAATATGCATGACAAAAGAAAAGAAAAAAAAATTATATTTTCGAATTGAGACAAAAAGTTATTCCAAACCTTCCAGATGTCCTGTTGGAAATATTTTAAAAAGAATCTAAGAACGTATTTCATTTTTCTGTGATTGGATATTTAAATATTAGGCACATGTTAAAATAAGTTGTGAGTGATTTATTCAAATAGTTTTGAGCTTTCGGAATATTTTTTCTTTCTTTTTTATGCTACATTCTGTTTCTGTCAGCTAAATTCCAATCAATATAGTCTTATAGTAGAACAAATTTTTAAAGAAAGAAATTATACTCTTCGATTAATATATAATAGTTTATACGAGAATGTTTGAAAAACCATCAAAAACATGGATTATTATTCAGCATTTCATTTTAAAAACCTCTCAGGAAGCAGTACAAAACAATTTCCAAAATTTTTACACAAAGAAATAATACTCAAAAGCAAACTATTTGAATATATCACATTATTATGTAAGTGTTTTTACGTCTGTCCATCCAACTTACAGTAAAGCTTACTGTAAAGAACATTTTTTACCTGCACGGTTTTAAAACCGTTTGCAATTAGTATGGTTAAAAAATCCTGAACACGGTTTTTTTTTTAAAAATTACTACTGTCATGAAAACACTAGACTTGTGTTAAGCAGCTTTATGGTGTTGCCGTCTATGTGTGAATGAGAGTATCGTATTCCAATAGTCCAGGGTCACAAATTAGGGGAGTGCAGGACACTGAAAACTCATGTGTTGATTGTAATGGAGGAAAAATCGTGGTGTAAAAGCTGGGATTCGAACCCCGTTCTGTCGGTTATGAGATAAACAGATTGACCCTCTTGGCTTTGATATGTACCTATAATTGCAAGGAATTAAGAGGCTTCATAAGGTGAGCCTAGTTGGTTTCGATAAAATTCTGATTGTTTAACCATATTAGGAGAAAGTAGATAACAAACGGTTTTTCTTACAGTTAATAGTTTGAATATCTTATGTAAGTTATTTGACTGCTTTGTTTGAGTATGGTGAAATAAGAAGTAAATAAATTGCTGTTTAACCATTCTTTCCACGAAATTTTTTACAGTATATAGATATATATACTGAAAAAAGTAACTTAATAAAGAATAACAACGGCTAAAATTTGAAAATAAACTATTATAAATGAAAATAAAACTAGAGCCAATCACATAACGATAAACAGGAGTAACCCGAAGGGGACGTCAGTAAAACCAAAGAATATGATGGTAACCAGAAGCGGGGTTTCATCAAAAGAGTACAATTGAAATTTTTTGTTAATCCAATTGACCCCGACTCTGCACTTTAAACTTTTTGGTTTGAAACTCTTAATTTAAAAAACAATCAAAATCAAAGACGTAATAATTGCATAATAAAATAAGAAAAAAAATTAAATAATGCAGATACCCTTAAATTACAGATACAAAATATTTTATAGGAAAAGGATCCTATTATCACTTATATTTATTTTATTCTGATGACACCCAAAAATGTATGGAAATTAATATGAAGTCTATATGAAACAATCCACATGTATCGATAGGTAGCTTGGAACTGCCCTACGCAATTTTTTGATCTCTTTTTCTTTTTTTTTCCTTCAAGTTTTTATTTACTTATTTTTTGCCGTACGAAACTAAAGAGCAAAGCTGAATAACACAGTTGGTTTATTTTTTTAATCCACTTACAAAATAAAATGACGTAAGCACATAAAAATTGCAAGACGTGATTTGTTAATTTTACTGTTAAATGTTAATTTACTCTATTTTTCAGCTGAAAGCCTTCTATGTAGACCTTCTACTTCCTTTGGAATCTAATCTTGAAAAAGACACAAAAGTAGTAGCGGTAAGAATTAGTTTTATTTTGGTTTATTTATTCCATGGTTTTTAAATAAATCAATAAATATGAAAGCATATGAATTCTAAGCATTGAAGTTCGACGAACCTTGTGCTTAATCCAATCGAAGAAGGTTTTTTTAAATAGTTTGTTTAGGTAGTAGATGTTTTAGTTAATTGACAAAAATATCTAGTCATTTAGCAAAAAAAGATCATCATTATTTTTTAACTATTTTTTAACAAAAATATTTAACTAAATTAGTTATTATTATTATTTAAATATTATTTAGCAAAAACGTTCTACTCAATTGGTTATTATTATCATTTAACTAATCTTATTTAACAAAAATATTTAACTAAATTTGTTATTATTATTTAACTAATATTATTTAACAAAACTATTGAACTAAATAAGTCATTATTTTTATTTAACTAATGTAGTTTAAACAATAATATTTAACTAAATAAGTAAATATTATAAATTAACAAATGTTATTCAACAAAAATATGTAACTAAATAAGTTATTATTACTATTTAACTAACGTTATTTAACAAAAATATTGAACTAAATAAGTCATTTTTATTATTTATCTAATGTTGTTTAACAATAATATTTAACTAAATAAGTTAATATTATTATTTAGCTAATGTTATTTAACAAAAATATTTAACTAAATAAGATATTATTATTATTTAACTAATGTTATTTAACTAAAATATCTGCGCCCAAGACGTATTATATAAAAATATCTTTAATATAAACAGCTTTATATAAACAAATGGCAAGTTTTATCAGAATTTACTTTTTAGATATGAAATAATGAAAAGCACACACAGTTGTATTTTAAATTCTCCCATTGAAGACATGCTGTCACCTTTTGAAATCTTCTGCTGCTAAAAGATCTTCCTTTCACTAAAAACTTGGTCCTTTCAAGTCTGAACTTGATTGTAACCGTTTGTATACAGGCTCCCTCAGTACCAAAGCAACTCAAGCTACCAAGTATTCAAAGTACCAAGCGCTCTTAGCAACTCAAGATCCTAAGAATGTTACTAACCTGATTAAAAACAAAGTAATTGTTTATACTAGGCAGCATATTAAATTCTGACATTTAGAAACGCGCACGTCTTGGTAACAAATGAATATGACAAATCATATTTATAGATTAACTTATCGATGTTTTATTGTTGGGAAAAGCATTGTTTTTATTGATGTTTAAGAGGTTTTCCTGCGGTAAAAAAAAGTATGTCATTGCATCATTATTAACAGCCTTTGAATGGCAAACTAGATTTTGATGAGGTAAAGAACGTTTAAATTATTCAATACAATGTAATAACTGTTTTTTAATTAAAAAAAAATATTTGTGTCAAATTTTCTTTATTGATTTAAATGGTTTCATTGATTTCATTATAATACAAAAGTAAATATGCATAAGAGTTTATTAAAAAACTCTCTAATTCATAAAAAAATATTATAAATTCTCCAGGGAGAGGTTTTTGAGGCTCAATTGAAAGATACTAATAATTTTTAAACATGATAAATCATATTTTATATTTGAAATAAATATATCATTTCATAAATTGACTTTGTTTAGATACAACCAGAACTAATGACAAAACGTAGAAGACTTTTTCAATCGTTTTTTACAAAGGCAAGAAGACGTTACCAACCAAAAAGTAATTACGTTGCTTATCTAGAGCACCATTCTAGTATATTGAGACAGCCTTATAGTTAACAGTTAAAGTTACTAATGTAGTTCAGTCTTAGTAATCTTGAACAATTTATTTTAATAGCTTGAGTCTTTATCAGAGCTTTACGATATGAATCGTAGAAAATGGTTAAACATTTTGTTCAACCTAAATTCCGTGAAGAATTCTTTAACTCTCTTTATTGTACGAAATATTTTCAGCATATATTATATGAGCGAAGTATTATACAAGTTTTTTTATTAACTTGCATGAAGATAAACACTACAGTAATACACTTACTGTTTTACTTCAGTTTCTTAGCAAAATAACTGTGTTTATTTTACTTTTTTATAATTTTTCTAAGAAACTTAAGCATTACAGTTAAAAGAGCTTTTTTACAAATAATCCAACTAACTAAGGACCTAAGTTAAGACCAAAAAAGACACACATTTCGGTTCTCTAATTAGTATTTAAGAGAGAAAAAAAATGTTATCAAAATCTGGTGAATAAATACCTAGAAAATTAGTGTAAAAACAACGAAAATGTTGAGTTGCTGGTTGAAATCTTACTGTGTTTTTTATTATATGGATAATTTTTAACTTACATGAAATGGCCACTTTTTCTAACCCGCAACCCATGCTTTATTGGGCTATAAATTGCAAAGCATTAACTCTATGACCGTTTTAACTGACAACTAGCTGTTACGTGATTGTTTATCTATATATATATATATTTAGTTCATAGTTTCTTGGAAGCAAATTAATTTCAATATACATTCCAGCAATTCATTTCTATCCTGTTTATTTCTAGTATTATATCAGATATGTTAAAACAAATTTAAGTTGTACTGTACAATCTCACTACACTCACAAATAAATTGCTCAACAATAAACCATATTGTAAGTAAACCGAACCTGTCAGTATCCAATTATAATGAGGTATTAAATTAAACTCTAATCCCATTCAAGTTGAACCATAGGTTTAACAAAAAGTAATAATGTGAAATTCAAGAATTATTTGTTTACGCTATAACAATTCATCAAGGTATTAAGTTTGTAGCACAACTGAATACTTTAGCTCGTTCTAAACTTTCTAACATCGTAGGGAATTTTCTGTAGTATTAGAAATATAACATTATTATTTGTCAAAAATATTATTCTTTTTAAAAAATTTAAACTGATTTCTGTAATTGAATTCATTTTAGCACAGAATATTATTGAAATAAAAAAAAAATATTGAAGAACTAGATTTCATTAATTTGTTCATAATTAAAAAAGTGTTTTTATAACTATAAAATACTTAACTTTTCCTGATAATGTAACTCTGTTAAATGTTAGATGACATTTTAGCAACTTCACGTCTTCCTCTATCCTGAAGGATTTGCGCCACAAAAACCACAGAGGCACATTATTCAAATCACGTCGACTTCTCTTACCTTATTTCGAATTCCTTCCCGAAAAATGTCAAAAAACATTTGTGTAACTGTAACTCATCTTTTTTTTTTTCCTTCTATGTATTGCAGGGTGAGCACAAGCGATTCCTTCAGCAACACAAGTGTCACCACGATTCCTATCAGAAAGCTCTCGGCATGTGTAAGAAACAGAAGAAAAGAAGTAGGACGAGTTTCTGTAGCATCGGCAAAGACGTCAAAGTAAGGACAGAATAGAGATTGTTTGTTAACGTTTGCTCCAGTGAGCACGTCTGTTTGCTTTTGAATTAAGCCTCTGTTTCGTCCGGTAGAAGCTACAGTTGTTTAACCTGATTAATCGTATTAGCTAAATTGAATTGAATCCTTAGGAACATAAAAGCAAAAGTTTTAAGACCATTTCACTTATCATCATTACGTTTCTGAAAATTTAATATACCAAGTGACTAAAGATATGAAAAACTTTGCGTTCTTAGAGGTTATCACAAAAATTATCGTAGATTCAAGTAATAAATTCAAAGTATAAAGGAAAGAGTGTGACGCGTACTGTTTACTGTGCTTTGTTAAGGAAGGGAAGTAATATATTTTTCCAGCTTTTAAAATTAGTAGCAAAGTTCAACAGTATATCGAACTGTTGTTAAGACTAATGCAAATGATAATAGTTGCATAAGCGATTGGTAAATTGGTAACTCCCGTGAAAATGAGAAAATGACGGGGTGAGGTTTCACCCTCTATTTCTCGCTCCCTTGAAATTTAAGGGATGGAGTGTTCAGTCGTAACGCGCCAATAAGAATAAAACTAATTCATTTCTTTTGAACGGAAAATATTTTATTTCTCATTTTACACACTAGATGGCGGTACCAGGATATTTTTAAGGTAATTGTAAATAGTTAGTTTATATTAAACTAGATGTCAGCACTAATCAAATACGTGTATATGGTAAAATAGGCACTTTTATGACCGTTTTCTTGAAAATTAACCGATCATTAAGGGGTTAAAGTGTGCTACGCTGTTGCTGCAAGTGGTGGTTATTTTGAAAATGTCTGTCATTTGTTGAAGAATTTTGTTATCATTTTTTATTTTATTGTAATTTAACAACATTTCTATTGCAATTGTAACCTGGCAAAAAAATTGGTTTCCTAAGCAGTACGCATTAAACCGTATATTTTTGTCTTCAGATTTTAATGATTATTTTTAAAAATAAAAACTTAATAGTGTGTTCATTTTGAGATGCTCGGTATCCCGAGCTAAAATTTGATACAAAGCACATTATACATTTTCTAGAACGATTACAAATATGTTTAAAAAAAGTAAAGATGTATATCTATGATACATTAAAAAATTTAGCAAAATCTTGGAAGTGTTTATCTCTTTTGTTTAATCTTTTGAAGAATGGACTGCTCTTAACTGTACTGATAACTTTGGAATACTTTTTCTAAAAAAACTATTGAAGCGATTTCCATTTTTTAAAATCCTCAACTAATACAAAAAAGGATATTTTTGATGTTTCAAAGAGTTTCAAATTTTAACAACAAACTTTGTTGTTTTAGATATTTTTTAGTAAGAAATTACGTTTGAACGTAAATAAAAAATAAACGACGGACTTCAAAAAACACTTTTAACCAATATTCAAAAAAAAAAAGAAGAAAAAAAGAGTAGACAAATTTATTCCTTAGCTTAACAGAAAATGACTCAACATAAAAATTCTTAGAAACCACGACTTTAAATAATTATTTCTTTTAAGATTCCTTTGTTTTCAAAAGAACTTTTTTTGGCTGGTTCACGTAAAAAAAATGTAAAGTCTTATAGCAAAATCAAACAGTTGATTAAAAGCTTGTTTCTTCTAAATAAAACCCCATGATTGAATTGCTCACTCAAATTTAAGGTTTATTCAGGGTTTTTTTCTTTTCTTTCAACGTTGAAAGAGTTGTTTTTCCGGAAATGAGCGAATAAAATGCTTTTCCTTTCTTCCTTTCTAATAAATCAATACCAAAAAACAAAATTGTTTACCGACCACACATAATTGATTCATTAGTTTTTCATGATTCTATTCAAAATTAAATTTCAAATTGTATTTTCAAATAGTAGTTTTCAAAAATATTTTTTTCAATATGAACAATCACGTTTAACTATTTATTTGACGGATTACAATGTCTAAAAACATTGTCTTTAAAATCAAGTCGAAAAACTTTTTTAAGTAATTTTGAAAGTTCATTGAACTATATTCAAGATAAAAATGCATTTCATTTATTGATTTTAATTTAAATGAAAATTGATATGCAAAGTTACTATTTTCGCAATTTCTTCGAAACAGAAGCATGTGTACCGTTTTACCTAAAAGCTCTGCATTAATTAGTAAAACAAAACAAGCTATAGGCAGAGAAATGGATTAACTCTTTTTGTTCTTTCGATGTATTCACAGATATCCCAAAGCTCAATATTGCCTTTATATTTCTATTTATTTTCCTATTCGTTTTTGGAGTATTAATTCAGATAATTAGAAGTTTCAATTTTTTTTCCTCCTCTCACTTTAAATTCCCACAATTCAGGTAAAATCGCTTTAAATAATACCTGCTCATAACCTGCCTATTTTTAAATAGCAATCAACGAAAGATCTAAATTAATAATAATAATTTATTGTCTAATATTATTAATGAAATAATAATAATAGAGCTAATAACCAATTAAAGTATAACTAAGAAGTATTAATCGGTTCCAAACTTGCAATAATTGCCAAAGTGTTGAACTCAATGTACCCAAGACAAAATTTATGATGGTACCATCAAGGGATTTTGATGGTTTATGTTGGCTTCAACAAGATTTTTGATGGTGCAGCATGTGTTGATGGCCACCATCATACAACAATTTCCATCATGGTTTGTTGGTTTTTGATGGACCAACAAATTCCAACATAGCAAGATGGAAAATGTTGCTCTATTGCTATGATGGTAAACCATCAAGTAAAGTTGGATTTCTCATGGACCAACAATGACCATCATATCATAATAGCATATGTTGCATTCCCTTTATGATGGTCAACCAGCATGGTATGTTTACTATTGATGGACCAACAACAGCCATCAAAATATGATGGAAATTGTTGGTTTACATATATGATGGTCTACCAACAAGTTATGTATATTAATGTTGGCCCAACAATAACCATTATATTATAATGGAATATGTTGTATTTCCTTTATGATGGTCAACCAACATGGTATGTTTACTATTGATGGACCAACAACAGCCATCGAAATATGATGGAAATTGTTGGTTTGCATTTATGATGGTCAACCAACAAGTTATGTATAATAATGTTGGCCCAACAATAACCATCATATTATGATGGAATATGTAGTATTCCCTTTATGATGGTCAACCAACATGGTATGTTTACTATTGATGGACCAACAACAGCCATCAAAATATGATGGAAATTGTTGGTTTACATTTATGATGGTCAGCCAACAAGTTATGTATATTAATGTTGGCCCAACAATAACCATCATAGTATAATGGAATATGGTGTATTTCCTTTATGATGGTCAACCAACATGGTATGTTTGCTATTGATGGACCAACAACAGCCATCAAAATATGATGGAAATTGTTGGTTTACATTTATGATGGTCAACCAATAAGTTATGCATATTAATGTTGGCCCAACAATAACCATCATATTATGATGGAATATGTAGTATTCCTTTATGATGGTCAACCAACAAGGTATGTTTATTATTGATGGACCAACAACAGCCATCGAAATATGATGGAAATTGTTGGTTTACATTTATGATGGTCAACCAACAAGTTATGTATATTAATGTTGGCCCAACAATAACCATCATATTATAATGGAATATGGTGTATTTCCTTTATGATGGCCAACCAACATGGTATGTTTGCTATTGAGGGACCAACAACAGCCATCAATATATGATGGAAATTGTTGGTAATAAATAGTTATTGCAAATAATAGTAATAAATAATAATAATAAATAATAATAATAAAAAATAATAATAATAAATAACAAATAATAGTAATAAAACAATGAGACTTCAAAAGCAAGATTCTTCATCCAAAAAATTAAATTTTTTAAAGCATTATTTCAGTTTAACAGAATAAAAATAAATCAATTTTTATTTTTACCAATGTTATTTCAACACAATACCAACAAAAAAAAAACAAAGTCTTTCTTTAAAATCATATAAGCCTTTTCTTTTCGTACTTTATTTACCGTTTTGTCTCTCTATTCCTAGCAATTACATGCCTTGGAGGACGAAAAAAAGAAATTGGATGTTTTCTGTGAGCAGAGCCTGAAACAAGTAATTTCTTTTATTTCTTCTGCGCCTCATTTCTTGTTTAATATGAATAAATGTATCCATAATAAACCGAAATAGAAGCGAGACAATAGCATTTGGCGCGATCCATGTAATTGCATCATTACAGAAACAGCATATAGGAGGATGCGGTCCGGATTTCTGAAACATAAGACTGTTTTATTGCCTGGCTTTTTGATAAACAAAAAACAATAAAACTAAAAGGAATCTCTTTTGTGATAAAAGTCCGGCAATATAGAAAGTATTAAAACAGTGCTACGCACCGTTAAATGCTGGTCCATTAGCAGTTATTTTGCATAATGGTATTTCAAAAATTTTATAAACGACGCATTGTTTGAAATTGACACACATGAAATAAGCATTATGAAATAAAAGATTTTTCGCAATGAAATTGAGTAAAATTTATTGGTGTTCTATAAACACCTCACTTAAAATAAAATTTTAGAATCCTTGGGATAAAATGAAGTAAAAGGCAATGATTAGGGTTTTCAAATTAATAACTAGGTCTGAAAGGAGCAGAGACCTTGTCAAAATCAGTTAAGTCATTTAGCATCGAAGGTGGCAAAACAATCAAAACCAGTTTGATTTCTTGAATACAATTAGCGCTTTTCAAATGAAAGTGTTTCTTCACCTCTCTGTTTCCAAAAAGTATTGATTTTAGACACGCAGTCAGACAAGTATTGCCGTTTTCATGGCAGATTTTCTCAGTAGATGCTGACTCCGTTTTTGTTTTCTTTCCTATATTAAATATTAATTTATTACCCCCAATGACTTCCATTTTTTAAACAATAGCAATAAAACTAAATAGAGAGCTATAATTGGGTATTAGCACCTAATCACACGATTGTGCTTAATCACGTGGTTATGCATGGCGTGTTAACGTCACAGCTTTAAGGCATGGAATTTATTTCCGGGAATTTTCGGGTATCTGGAATGGCCTGGTTGGCAGGGCACTGGACTCACTTTTGTGAGAACGGGATTTGAAATTCAGCGTCACGGTGAGTCGATGACTCCCCGTGTATTAAATGGTAACTGGTACACATTAAACCTGTCGGGTCGCAAAGTCCTTCATGTTCCCACCACAAATCAATACCTCTGGGGGTACTGAATTGAAAATTGATCGTTCTCTGGTTCAGGTCAAAATTACGATCTGTGGAGATGAATGAATGGATGTATGAATGAGTCCGCCGAATAAACGGGTGTGACACATGGGTGAGGCAGAAGTCGAATTCTTGGCCATAGATGGCGTTATTGGAAAACAAGAACAATCGCACTCCTACTTAACAGCCGATTACAACAACAACAACATAAATTTTTGGGTTTTAATTTGGGATCTGTAAGCGATCATTGCGTGACATGTATGCGTGACATCGAAAAGGAATCATGCTTAATAAATTAGAAGTATCAATAAAGTTTTTTTTAAATATTTTATAAAAAAATTAACAGAAAATTCAATGCATTCTCTTATTTACTTTTTTTTATAAAAAATGTAATAAAAGAAAATGTTAGGTCTTTTTTTAAATTTTTTTCAATGATAGAATTTATTGTGTAGAATTAATCGAATAGTATAAATCAAAACACTAATCTTAGTGTAAAAAAAAGGTCTGAAAATCATTTTTCAAAAAAGAATTATATTTCTTTGGGAATAAGATCGTACATCATGAAATATTATTTAAGTCAACAAGATTAATTCTTTTTTTTTTTAAATTTTTAAATTCCGCTGTTCTTTAAGGGTAAAGGTTTCAAATGACAATCTTTTAACTGTTTTCAAACTAGCGCATTTGGTGACCAAAAGTCGGCGAGGTATCTGAGAAAGCCACCTTTTTGGCTTTCAAATCAAAATTTCATAAGATTGATGTAGCTATGACGCAAACAGTTTAATTGAATGTTAGGAATTTAATAGTTAAAACGAGCGGGGGGGGGGAAACCTGCGGATGAGAAATCAAAGCAAGCTAAAAGATTGAAAGCTAATTCCCTCAAGTACATTAGAACCTTCATACACTCTTTTCATCAATTATTGAAGATGAAAAAAAAGGGAAAAAAACACGACAATCAGAAGTTATGATTTTGTACACACCATCGGGTTTGTTTAAAATATGAACTGAATTATTTTCACTCACACCCATTTCAAGCAGAAAGATTTTTCATATAAATACATCTTTACAACAGATTATTATTATTTTTTTTTTGCGGGGTGCTAAAATATTAGGTAATATTCATGTGCTCCTAATTAACTATGAAATTAATACGATAATTAACGATGAAATTAATACGATAATTAACGATAAAATTAATACGATCATTGACGATGAAATTAATACGATAATTAACGATGAAATTAATACGATAATTAACGATGAAATTAATACGATAATTAACGATGAAATTAATACGAGTATCCAATGACGACCTAATCCGAAATTATAAATCCTCGGTTACTCAGGAAGTAGAGCGTTCGCCTCCCAGTGAGGTGAACCAGGTTCGAATTCCAGCGGTAGCTGGTTGATACTTATTCTGCTCACGGCTTGCCTCAACCACAGTGCCGACGCAAAATATCATCAGTAGCAGACGGATCATGGGTTGGAATCTCCTTTCTGTCGGGCTACCCGTGAGAAACTTTCGTGGTTTTCCTCTCCATGTAACGCAAACGCAGTTTAGTTCCTCCAAAAAGTCCTCCACTGATTTTTCCCAATACTTAATCCAGGAGTTCACGTTATATTTCTATTTTATAACTGTTGTTGAACAGCCGACCCATTTTTTGCGTTTACGACTACTAATGTTCAACTCCGTAGCCTTGTAATGCTGAACCCAATCCAAAAGACAAGGAAACTCCTGGATCGAGAATTGGGAGAAATTTGTCTTCGTGGAAGACTTATTGATGAAACTAACCCGCATTTGCGTTACATGGAGATGAAGACCATGAAAACCTCCCACGGTTAGTTTGACGGCAAGGGGACTCTAATCCATGATCCGTCTACCACTGAGGATATTTCACTTCAGCACGGTGATCGGTGCGAGTCGGGGCGGAATTCGTATTGACTGGGATTCGAATCCGGTATACCTCATTGGAAGGCGAATGCTCTATCCCCTGAGCCATCGTGACTCCCAGGAGTTCACTTGTCTTCTGGGTAGGGATCAAAATTACAAAGCTACGGGTATGAACATTGATAATCGTAAACTTTGAATTGGATCGGCTGTTTGAACGCTGGTTATAAAATAAAATGTAAAATAAAATATTAAATCCTCATTGGAACTATACAATGAAAAAAAAATATTGGACAGTTTTGTTGTATCTTATATAATGCAGTGAGCTAACACGTTAACAAAAATAAATGCGGATAAGAATACTTCTCAAGACAAACAAAATATTTTCGCCACTAAATGCGAGAAACAAACGTTCCAAAGAAAGAAAGAAAAAGACGAAAGTGCCTCGCAGCAATGTTAGTCTCTTATTTTTTTCTGTTTTTTTCTTTTAAACATATGAACCTTCAGAAACGAATGCAATTTGCCCTCACTTCTTTCCTAGACTGACAAGAAAAGAGAGAGAAAAAAGTATTTTCTCCTTTTTCTGCGGTAATACCATAGCGCCATTTTGTTTTCTTTGTGCAATCCATTTATATTATGCTCGACCTTTGGGTGATAAATAACAGATTGCTCATGTTGTCAATTTTTCTTTCTTTTCTTTCTGTTTCAGGCGATCACTCAAGAACGCAGACGATATGGGTTCGTTCTAGAACGCCAGTGTTCCCTAGCTAAGCACTACTTGGCCTATCATACGAAGGTAACAAACAACATCGGTTTTTCTTGTTGCTTGTGGTTTACTTGTTGCTCATTTGTATTCTAGAAGCTCAATCCAACGGAAATCAACCATTTTATCTATCCCCCAAGGAATGAAGGAATCACCACCAACTGGAGATAAGAACTGCTTAAACTTCTGAGACATGTTTTTGGGATAGAACAGGGAGACAACAAGTAGTTCATTTGCACCACGTTTTAGTTGTTTAGTCTTATTCTAAGAAACCGTAAAATAATGTGAGACATCGCAAAAAAATTCATTATTTCAACTAGTTAGAGGAAATATTATTTTTATGAGTAAAATACATGCACTGTAAAAAATTCCGGATCAAATTACGGTACAAAGTACCAGCAATTTGGATGCAGCATCCATGAAATCCATTTTACTTTAAAATCCATTTACCGTACTATATTTCTTTCAGCAATATTTATTTAATTAGAGTAATTTTTATGGTAATTATTACTGCTAAAAATACAATTTATCGGAGTTTTCGTTCCGTAACAGGTTCCAGCAAATATGGATTTTATATAATGTATATAGTAAATATGGATTATCTTTTCATCGTAGCCTAATCTGGATTTTTTTTNAAATCCATTTTACTTTAAAATCCATTTACCGTACTATATTTCTTTCAGCAATATTTATTTAATTAGAGTAATTTTTATGGTAATTATTACTGCTAAAAATACAATTTTTCGTTCCGTAACAGGTTTCAGTAAATATGGATTATCTTTTCATCGTAACCTAATCTGGATTTTTTTTTCAGAGTAGTAATATATTTTTAAAAACCATTGTTCGAATGGTCCATATATTATGAAATATGTATATTATGAATATTCGATAAATTATGAAATATATGAATTACCACAACACTGCGATAAGAACTGCTTGAACTTCAGATTCATGGTTAGGAGGAGAAAGGAGACAAGAAGTCGTTAATTTTGCTCCATGTGTTAATTAATTAGCTGGCTAGTCACATTCCAGAAAAAATGTAAAAAAGAAAAGAAAATTCTGGCGGGAAAATATCGACGACACTAATTACTATAATAATGAAAATTAACAAAATATAAACTGATTAATAATTATAAAATAAATAACTCTGTTACAACTAGTCAACTGAGTTTTTAATATTAACAGGAAAGTAATTATATATAT